TTGCTTAGTAATGGAAGGTGCTTTGGCAGGGCCTACTCTGTGGCTGTGGAGGAGCCTGTCTGTGTGCAAGACAAGCAAGGTGTCCAACACAGCATCTACACAGCCTGCACACCTGCAGGGTTGTGCAGAGGAAACCACCACCTTCCACATCGGCCTCAAACATTTTAACATGTCAAATTGGGGTTCCTCATGTAATTAATCAATGGTACCTTAATTTGCAGCCATTTTTCTTTCTTAATGGCATTTCAAACTGTCTTCTAATCGATGTTGTCTTAGACTTACTGAAATACAGTAGCCAGCAGGCTGGTGTTGAGCATTCTGTATCAATGTAAACCTGATCTGGTGGCCACCCTGACTCCTCAGATATAGTGAGTTAACCCAGTAAGGAAAAATCCTTTCTGTTTTTCTGAGTTGGTAATAAAAAATGGTTTAGCCATAAACCTATCCTGAGTTCTCCTAAGACTCCAACAAAATTACACCAGAGTGCAGCTTTATGAGCAGTGATAAGTCAGGACCACAGAAGAGGGCCCAGGTGACCTTGATCCTAGTTCTCCTGCCATTGCTTCATCAACTCTCTGCCCTCACCCACAGCTTCCCCCAGGCTGCTGTCGCCTGGCTGGCCCTGGCTGGCACTTCTGTCTCAGGTCAGCCTCTGATGCCAGTCCCTCCTCCATTCACGCCCACCTGCTGGCGTCAGGGGCCCTTCTATGCTTCTTTTTCATTCCTTGTCTTGCCATGTTTTAATTGTCTCCCCATCTGACCCCGTTTTCATGTCCAGAGTAGCACAGTCTCTGACAAGCAGGGCATGGAGGTCTCATTGCCTGTGCACACGAGGCCCATTCCTCTGTCTTGTCTCTCTTAAGGCGGATTCCATCTATCCCAAGCCCTGGTTTGGCCCCTTTGGGTTGTTTTAGCCCAGGGAGGGTCCCAGTGTGGCACTGGGAGTTTCTAATTATCCGAGGTTCTGATGTCAGCAGAGTGGATTTCCTCAGGGCCCCAAAGGTGAAGTTGGTAGTTATAGGACCTGACCCACAGCACCCAGCCCCTCCTCCCTGTGCCTCAACAGAAGGAGCATGGGGTGGGAGGATGGAGCAGGAGCCCTCGGGGAAACACAGGCTCAGAGCCATGTGGCTGTCTGTGGTCTGGGACATTTCTCTGCTTTAACTCTGGGGTTTCAGTGGTGGTTTGACTTATTCCCCAGAACAGAGCTGAGAGCCTCTGGGATTCCTCTTGGTGAATGGGTTGGTTATTAGGAGTAGTGTAAAAACACAAGTTCACAAGGTACAAAGTAGGCTGGCTGGTTAGCTCACTTGGAAGAGTGTGGTGCTGGTGATGCCAAGGTCATGGGTTCATCTCCCATTCCAGCCAGCTGCCAGAAAAAACAAAGTGTAAAGCATCAGCAGTTCTGAGTTAGGGTAAGTCAGGCGTTGTAAAGAGAACCCTCAAGAGTGGGTCTCAGCTAACCCTCCTGCCAACAGGAAATAAGCACTGTGCTCCAGGCTGGACTGTGCTGGGAGTACAGGCATGCTGAGAAGGCTCTTCTCATACAGCCTCTCTCCACAGCCCAGTCAGTGCTGTGTCCTCTGACACATGGGTGAGCTCATGGTGGCTGTGCTTGACCCAAGTGGACAGACCATCCCCAAGAAGTCCAGACCACCCAGCAGGCCCCTTCTCTGCCTGGTGGCCACGAGTAGCAGGCCTGGACTGGTTTCCCAGGACCCATGGTAGAAAAGGGGTGTAAGGAGCATCCAACAGCCTTCTTTTGTCCCCAAAGGGGTCTCTGCAAGTACAGGCTTTTGGAGTCTCCCAAATAAACTACGAATTTAAGACAGTGATGCTCAACTCCATCTGCAAACTGGAATCATCGAAGGGGCATTTAAAACATGGGTGCTTGCTCCCCTCCTCACAGAGGTGGTGTGGCTCCCAGTGGACTTTCATGCAGTCAGGGTTGAGAACCACTGCTTTGAGAGCATAGACGTATCTTCTGGCTCCTGGCTGTCATGTGGAGAGTAAAGCCTCCCTCTCCTCTGAGAAAAAGCAGCTGTACACCCTGCCTCTGCATTAGGTGCCATGAGGCACAGGTGGGCCCTTCACGTAGGGTCTGTTGCTCTTGGTTGGGACTGCTCCATATACAGGCAGTCCCTGAGGGCCAGTCAAAAGCTATCTGCGATGAGCCACAGTAACTCAGGCCACTCCCCCATCCGAACATGGTTCTGAACCCTCACCCCCACCAAGTGCTGCAGTGGGGCCCCAGATTCGGAAAGAGTGCATGGAACCAGAAGGCCTGCCAACATTTATTGGCACTGTAACCTCAAGTGAGTCTCTGAGCTTCCACCTTCTGATCTGTAAAACCTGGAAATGTGCCACCTTGGCAGGACTGATGGGAGAAGCAGCCTGCATCCAAACACCAACAAATGAAAGCTACAGAAAAATAAAATATCCCCATTAAAAATTTTAAATGGCGATTTAAAACTAATGTATTAAAAATGTCATTTTAAGTTATTTTAATTAAATAAATATATCCACATGAACTCCTCCCCCCAATCAAAGAACCACCCGATACCTTTTTGGCAACAAGGCATGGAATAAACAAAGATTATAAACAAATGGTAGGTAACAGGGTATTTGAACCCCAGAAGTGGTCACTGTGATGCTTGGAAAGATCTAGGTTAGTTTGGAATTCCTGGGAGATGCCTCACGCCTAAAGGAGAGTGGCTTGAATAGAGAAAAACACAGATTCGATCAGAATATTGCCTACTGCCTCAAGGGCAAAAGTTGAACTCCCAAGTACAGCCTTTGTGATGTGGCCCCTGCTCACCTGGCCAGCAACCACTGTCTCCTGCTGCCACCCGCACCTTGGATAGGTGTCAGTGCCTTTGTCACCTTTGCCTTTTATCTGATTCCCATGTGATTCAAAACTCAACCCAACGATCTGTTCTTGACCCCACTTCCTTGTCTCTGGTCAGGGTGGTGTTGCTGTGAGTTTGCACAAAACCCTTAATAGCTGGTTCATCTCCCTAAGAGGATGTGAGGATGTTTAGATATAAGGGACCCTTTTTATTTTTAAACACTTAACCGCTCATTCTGCCAGGCATTTTACAGCGTAATTTTCACAACAACCATTATTGTCCCCATTTTACAGGTGAGGGAAACGGGCTCAGGGAGGTCCGTCACATGCCCAAGTTACATAGCCAGGAAGCAGCACATCCAGGAATTGGACTTGGGCAGTCAGATGTCAGATCCCATGTTCCTTATCACCTGGGAGCAGATTTATAAAACTTAACAAATGGTAGAATTATCAAACTTTATGGAAACTTTTAAAATGTATTGTTAGTTTAAAAGGATTCTTTAGGAAAAGTTGAAAGTTTTTTTTTTCTTTTCTTTTTTTTTTTTATTTGAGACTGGCCGCACCACGACACAGCCAGTGAGCACATGGGTCATCCCTATATAGGATCCGAACCTGCGGCGGGAGCACCGCTGCGCTCCCAGCGCTGCACCCTCCCGAGTGTGCCATGGGCTCGGCCCAAGTTGAAAGTTTTTATGTTTGCAAAGTGTTGTGGACTGGAGAACACCCCATCCCTGTTATGTCCCCTTATCCAGTAAGTGGGACAGTTGGAGGCCACAGTTTGAACATTACGCCATGGGCTCGGCCCAAGTTGAAAGTTTTTATGTTTGCAAAGTGTTGTGGACTGGAGAACACCTCATCCCTGTTATGTCCCCTTATCCAGTAAGTGGGACAGTTGGAGGCCACAGTTTGAACATTAAGAATAAAACGTTTCTAGTGAAGTGGGTTTATTAAGGTTTTTCTGAGGACCCAGCTTCCAACAGTCAGAGAATCTTCATCACAGAAAATGGACTGAAGTCAAGAGACTTGTGTCTAGGTCCCTTTCTGCCTCTCCCCAGTGTCATCTTGTGCAACTCACGCCCGCCCTCCACGCCCCTCCCCGCAGATGATCATTTACGCCCCTCCGACAGGAAACCGCGGCCCTCTGCCCATCTTGTGCAACTCACGCCCGCCTTCACTTCCACGCCCCTCCCCGCAGATGATCATTTACGCCCCTCCGACAGGAAACCGCGGCCCTCTGCAAGTACCATTAAGTCCCAAACGGCCAAATATTGGCAATTTCACATGATTCAACCTAACATAACCCATAGCAGCTATCATGTATTAGATGCTGTCTTGATCCCAACGGCTGTACGAGGTAATACCATTAATAAAGCCCATTTTGTGGATGACACAACCGAGGCTTAACTGAATGAAGACTGTTATGCATGGGCCTGACTCCAGGGCCCGCGTTTTTTCGCGTACTGAGGAGTTCTGAGATACCCACCATTGCCATCTTGCCCGCTGACATTAACAATTGCTGGCTACCAATTACAGTGGCACGCTCTGGTTTGAGTATTACAGGCCCTGCGGTATCCCCATGACATTTCCTTGCTCTCCAGCCTTTCCCCCGCTTTACTTAAAATTGTCCTTCGCCAGGGGCAGCCGCCATAGTATGGTCGTGGTGTGGGCAAACTCTACCCTCTGCGTAACTCCTCCTTGAAGAACTGGGTAGAGTTTTAGCCAAAGCATGTTTTTTTCTTTGTGGATAAAAGCCGGGAGATTTCTTTTTTTCTTTTAGTAAATTATTATTTGGAGACATAGCTCAGCCACCTAATTTCTCTGACCTGGGAAAAACGAGGGCCACGGCTGGGCGGAAAGGGTCCGGCGGGCGGCACACCCACAGCCCCTACTAGCGCGAGCTCTCTGAAGGGAAATCTCACGTTTTGCATCACCTCATTTCCGGGGCTACAAGCTGACGTAAACAGCGAGCGCGGCGGGTCGCAGAGCCGCAACGCTCAACGGGTTGCGGGGGAAGGTAGAGTTGTGCGGCCCCGCCCCGCCAGCCGCTCGCACACCCGCGCGGGCTCCATTTGGTCTCGTCCGCGGCCGTCCCGCCCACCTCCCCCTGCCGCGCGGCGCCGTGGTACGTCCCGTGCTCTGCGCGCGCGCCAAGATGGCGGCGCCCGTGTGCGGCCGAGCGCTGGGGCTAGGGCAGTCGGTGAGTGGGCGACGCGGAGGGGCGCGGCGGTCGGGG